AATCTGGACAGGGAGAGCCTCTGCTACCTGAGGGAGTGCTCTGCATGAGTTATGACCTGGGAAGATCAAGATTCTGACTCATTCAGAGAGCCACCATGGCCAGTGGAACTCTCCGTCTTTAGACTTGTAGCCCTTTTCCTATAGAAGAGCAATAAAACTGGGGATAAAGGATACAGGGCTAGGAATGTCTCCCTCCCCCCCATAACAATGACTGCATGCTGTCAAGTCATGTCTGACATGATGACCTTTTCCATGGCATCCTGAGTATTCATTCTAAGATGAACCAGTTTGTGCCCCAAACTGGTTCATCTCAGTTCATTCCAGTTCATAAAGGTGGCCACACAGGAGCTGCTGCTCCTCTCTTCCGCCTCTTCTGGATCAATCAGTCACTCACCAAGCCCAGCTTCTGTGATCTTCAACTGATTTTCCAGTCCTCACAACAGCTCAGGTTTTTCTGCCCCACTCTCTTGACTGATCACCCACTCAGGCAAAGGGCCAGGATGAAGAAGTCTATGCTCTTGCTCGTGACTGGGAGATTAGCTGAGGAGATGGAAAAAGCGGGCAAACTGGGCCTGGTGAGTTGGTTGAATTGGCTGAGGAGGGGAGGGGATCAGCAGCACTTGTCCTGCTGCCTTTACAAACTGGGATGAACTGGGACAAACCAGTTCATGCCCATCTCTAGTACAGAGTACACAGAAGTAGTTTACTATGCTGGATAGCTCAGTGGTATAGCATCTGGCTGCAGAGTCACTGCTAGGTGCTCAATTCTCCACTGTGTCACCTTGACAGCAGCTGGACTTGATGATCTATAGAGTCCCTTCCAGCTGTGCATTACTAAGATTACTGAGATTCTCTTCTTCAGGGAGGAGAGTTTCTGGGACTGTGTGGTCAGCCCAGGATTCCGCTGGCTGGATCTACAGAAGGTATAGTGGAGAATTGAACTCCTAACCCCTGTATGTAACTCACTGAATGATTCCGTAGCATCCTTCCCATACCTTCCTCTAAATGGCAGTATCCTATATGGGTTTAGATGCCTACTCTAGAGTTGAGACAATCCTTATTAATATGATGGATTATTATATAAAATAATAGCTGTATTATTATTAATCTGTTCTTGTTGTTCCATTATTAGAAGAACTGTTCTTACAGTTTATCTACAACTGATTTCATCTGGTCTGGGATATGGTTTCCTTATAAAGACAGAGAAGTGAAACAATGGGTAAAAATATAGAAACAAAATAGAAAATATCATGAAAATCCTAATCTACATTGTTTAATCCTTCTGACATAAAAAAAAACATTTGTTTTATAACGATACTGTATGTTATTTTGTTTGCAATCTGTTCTCTGCTCAGAGTTTCATTTGTTGGGTGCTACAGAAATGATATAGATCAATAAATAGTGTTCATGTTACTCTGAACTCTATGAAGAATTTCACACCTAAAAGAGAGCCTTTTCAAAGGCAGAGCAGGCTGTTGTCCTATGCACATGTAGTTTGGAGGAAGTCTTAATGAACTCAGTAGGCTCCATCCAGTTCCATGAAAATGTCTTTCCTCCCATGAAACAGAACAGCTCCTCCTTACTCACCCCCTCCCTCGGGCAATAGAATAAGCAACTCATACATGCATTTGATTTCTAGCTCGGTGCTACTTTGGGAGTATTCAGCAAATCCTAGATGTTTCATGCATATCTGAAACAGCCCATAGCGTAGAAGATGAACCGATCAGTCTTCTGGAGGGAGAAAGATCTTACCCAGAGGCTCAGCTGCTACATGGCCAACCAATGTATGTATGTATGTATGTATGTATGTATGTATGTATGTATGTATGTATGTATGTATGTATGTATGTATGTATGTATGTATGTACGTATGTACGTACGTACGTACGTACATACGTACATACGTACGTACGCACGCACGCACGCACGCACGCATGTATGCATAGTAAGTTACTTTTCTTCAAAATCTGTATATCACTTTTATGTCCCCAAAAGTAACTACAAAGCACAAACAGTTGATTAATGTGTGTGCGTGCATGTGTACACACACACAAACACACACACACACAGAGGGGGGGGAACTCTTGTCTCTGTTGGAGTTCTCTTACATAATATTGACAATCCATTCCACACAGTACCGTCTGTAATGAGCCTTAAAGATCCTTTGATCTAAAGGCTGAATTAGAGATGTTGCATTTGGGGCACTTTGACACCTTCAGTTTTGAACTCATCGGGTAGCCAATGTCACAGTATTTATTGAATATTAACTTATTAAATATTTGTTCATTTATTGGAATATTCATTGGAATATTTATTTATTTATTGAAAACAGAATCTGTGTACTAACCAAAACCATGTTGGACCTGTACAATTCAAGGGAAAAGTGTAGTTTGACACTGGAAGAATCACATACTGATGGAGAAGCATGAACATATTTTTTAATCATAAAAGTGAATATCTCCAGTGTTTTACAATTAAGGTAAACAGCAATCATCAGCAATGGCAGGAGCTTGCTTACATAACAGATAACTTTGCTTCAGATGGGGTGTTTTCTTCTAGCAGCCTAATTTTACCCAGTATTGGAAACATTACAAAGCTTGCTAGGTGAATGGGCACATGGTGCACAACTATCATTTTATGAAACCAGAAGAACAGTGGACCTCTGAATACACATAACGAACATGTCTGTAGCTAGTACCTTAGTGATTTCCACAGTGACAGAATGAAACATAATCCCATCATTGGGTGGACAAGGATTGATTGTTGGACTTATGCTGTGTTGTTAGTTCTTTTTCCTCTTCTGTAGCAACTGCTCTGGTATGTGAAATTCCCCAGTTTTGTCATGAGCTTGGTGCTCCAGGTCAGTCTCTATGGGAAAAGACATCCAAATAACCCTGAGAGCAGATGTATTAAGATGGATGATGAAAAACGGGAGATGGTTTATAAAGGGAACATGAGTGATGAAAACTAGAATCTAAACGTAAATGGAGGAGCAAAAATAAACATTCATCTTGCTGATTTTGACCAAAAGTATCAAATGAAACAAATGAATATTAGAACTGGATTCTGTTCTTACACATATATACGGTTGGAAGGATGTTTTTTTTTCTGAAATAATTCCAGACTTTAGCTTAGATATAAACAATAGATCTAACTCATATCATAAATGCCCTTCACAAGAGTATAAAGCAAGCCATGTTGCATGAGACAAGAGACTGACTGAGGTCAGCATCATGTTTTTACACAGAGGCCTCCAGATGTCTGTAGAGATGCTCACAAACAGGAAATGAGTGCCATAGCACCCTCCCACTTGTGTCCCCCAGCAGCTGGTACTGAGATACTCCCTGCCCCAAATACTGAAGGTAGCACATAGCTATCATGACTGGTATCTTCCATCTGTTCCTCTCTATCCTGAATCTCCCACTGCTCAACTTCAGCGAACTCTCAGTTCCCGTGTCATAGAAGCGCTGGGGGCAGGGAATCCCGTTCACTTCCTCCATTCCCTAAATAATTTTATATACCTCAATTGTGTTCTCCCTTATTTTTTATCCCTCATCACTAGGCAAAACTTCCAAAAATATAGTAACTTATCTTCATGGGGCATTTGCTCCTGAGTTTTGGGTGATCTTGCTTCCCCTGCCCCAAAATTTAATAGAACTAAACCAGTTTCAGAATGGGCAAATAATAGCACAGGGAGAGGGAAGAAATATGCTCCTGGTCATATTTCTTACCTCTCCCTGTCCTATTATTTGCTCATTCTGAAATTGGTTTCACCGTCAAGCTGCATTCAATGCAGGTCAAGCAAAGTACTTGGAAACATGTCAAGAGTCAAACTGACACAAGTCAATGTCTACATTGGAAGAAGGTAACAAGCAATAGGTTGTGTGAATGGCATATGCACTCAAGACTAAAGACTGGGGGGCATAGGGACATCAATAGACTTCTTCAAACACTTTAACCCAAGGCTTAAAACCACACAACTTGTATGGGCTGGGCAGAATGTAAGTGCACAGGCTCATATTTTCAGCCTTCACATCATCTGAAAATGCAAACTCACCCAAATTTCAATTCCTTGGAGACACTCTGTGGGCAGGGAGGAGAGAAAGTGAGAAAAAGAGAGGAATGCAGAGGCAGGTAAAGTTACTAGTAATTTGGTCCAGATAATCAGACAGCTGTCAGTTCTCTCCTAGTCCATCCAAAAAGTGCATTCAGTAGCATTTTGCTCCTAATTGGATTATTTTCATCAAAGCCTCTAAAAGTGCAGTCCTGTCCCTAACAAAAAGTCTCAGAAAACTCTATAGAACTTATCTCCGAACAGAGCTCTACAATTGGGGAGACGTTCCAAGAACAGCCCGATTGTAACCCTCCCTCCCATCTTGTCTTTTGCTTTGATTTAATGAGGCATGGTGGTGGTTCAACATCTGGTGACCCCCATTTTCTCAAACCTCCATGCTGCAATGTGCCCACCGTTGCCTTAGGCTGGCCCCTCTCTTGTGCCCTAACTCTCTCTCCCCCCCTTCCTCGGGACTCAGCTCGCAGGGTGGGTGGGAAGATATGTCCAAACCGCAGTCCTCACTTGTTGGTCGTGGTCGCTGACACGTCATCTGCTCGCCTCCTCTTTCTCCCGACGGCGCCACTGAAGATTTTTCGCTTAAATAGAGAAAGCCTTCAACCTGAAATTCCTGTCTCGGCATTGCGGCCATCACGGACGCCAGTCCAGAGTGTCTTCCTCTCCACCCCTCGCTGGCAACATTCAAAGTGGAGAGTCTACCCAGGCCAAGTTGGTCTCCGCCCAGCTGGTCGTCCTGCTGGCCCAAAATGTGGGAAAGGTCCTTTTGGGGCCCATCAACGGCCAGCCTCTCCCCGCCAGTCCTGGGCGTCGGAGCCTCCCCCCAAAAGGAACATTTCCCTGTCCGCGCGGCTTTCTTCCCGGCCTAGCTGGCCCCTCTCGCATGCCTGGGTGGCCCAGCCGCCTTCTCCCTGAAGCCCTCGGTACCCTTCTAGCTGGTCTTGCAGCCTTCGAGCAACTCGGTCATGAAGGCGATGTAGACGATGGCCAGGCGGAGGGTCTCGATCCGCGAGAGGCGCTTCTCGTAGGCGAAGGTGGGCACCTTCTTCCTCAGCTGGTCAAAGGCTTCGTTGAGGTTGAACATGCGTTTCCTCTCGCGGACGTTGGCCGCCTGGCGTTGCCGGTGGGTGATGACCCGTTTCCTCTTGGGTCGGCCCAAGAAGGCGGCCTTCTTCGCTCGCCCCTCTTCTTCCTCTCCCTCCGCCTCGTGGTCTTCTCCTTCTCCTACCTCGGGGGCTCTTCCAGCGGCCGAGAAAGCGTGCGGGGCCAAGGAACCTCCGGGGATGGGGAAAGCGTAGAGATCCAAGCGGGGCGGCATTTCCTCTCCCAGGGACTGGCTCTCCTGCGTGAGATCGGCCAGGAGATCCAGCATGGAGGGGGCGCCCAAGCGTCCTTCCTGGTGGTGGTGGTGGTGGTGGGCCATCGGCCGGCCTTGGCGGGGCTGCTCATTGAGGACCAGGCGAAGGTGTGCCTCAGGCCAAGGCGAGGGGCTCCTTCGCTGGACACATCTTAGCCTTGAAGGGCGCGATGGGTGGCAGGGGCGGCGGAAAGAAGACGGCGGGGACCGGCCTTAATCTTTATAACCCCGAGAGATAACCGGATGATTGGCTTTGGAAGAGGATGAGAGGAGGCTGATGCGAAGCGACAGGCGGAGGCCTGGCCTCATCCGGGCGGGCCGCAGGGCTGGTGCCAAAGGGAGCGGAGGTCGCCCCGTTGCCCAGGGCCAGTTCCTTCTTGGCAAGGACCCCTCTCGCTGCCACCTGCGGGGCCAGGCTTTTCTCCTCTCTTCCAGCCGCCGCCGAGAGGCTTCTCCCCGCCAACCCCATCCCCAGCCTGGCCAGAGGGACTTAGGGAGGGCCCGGGCCAGCAGCTTTTCCCATTGATGTCAGACCAGTCGAGGGATGCGTTTAATGATGGCTCCTGAAGAGAGGAACCTGCGTGCCAAGGGGTCACGGGGCGGAGTTGGGGGGGGGGAGAGAGAGAAAGGGAGAAATGCTTGTCCCGTTTCCCAGCGCAATGGGGACCTGAATGGCAGGATCTCCATTAGCCTAAGTAAGCAGTGGCGGGGCCGGGTGGCGTGGCGCGGCCCCGCTGGGCGAGAAAAAAGCGGCGCCGTTCCTCTCCCCGCCGTAACCCTTGGACTCATCATCTCGCCGAAAGCATTCGCGCGCGCACACACGCAGGCACACACACCGCCCCTCCACCCTTCTTTTGCCCAACGTGTGCAAATAACGACCCAGCAGGGCAGGCAAACAGAGGCTTGCGAAGAAAACCGCCGTCATTCCTAGAGTCTTAAAGTGCTTGATCTAGGCTAGGGGGCCTTTCATAAGACCATCGAGTTTAGGGGGGAAAGCTGGTCTACAAATAAAGAAAAAAGGACCACTTTCTCTGCATGTTTGATGTCATATAAGAGTCTTCCTCAGGGACATCCATTTACTTCTCTATCTCTTCCTTCCTTCCTTCCTTCCTTCCTTCCTAATTTCGAGTCTTAAAATGCAACAAATACTCTTAGAAGAGAGGCTTGAGTGCGCTGGGAGGCGGAGGGGTGGATTTTCTTGGTTTTTTTTTTTCAATTTAAGCTTGAATATATGCAGGGAGCGGACTTCCATCCTTAGCGGTTATTTTGTCCAGTCCTCTCCAAAACTTGAAACGAACCCCTAATGATCTGTAAGGGTTTTTAAATTATTATTTTATTCCTTAGGGAAAGGGAAAATACGGGTTTTATTACTTCAAGCCGAAGAGGCAAGAGGCTGTTGACAAGAGGAAGTACACGGATTTTACATTACGCTTCGTCTATAGCGATGTGCATTCTAATTTCGTGAGAATAACATTGAAACCTAAACAAGGAAGAATCTGTCTCATCTGAAAAGCTGACTCATTTTTGATGGCATCAGTTTGTGGGAGACACAGACACTATCAAGTGCGTGAAATCTTATTGAGCTACAGGTGTACCTATATTTTCAACTTTTTCAACTTTAAATGCAACCGAAAATCACCGGTGGAGAGTGGCAAAAATTTCTCAGCTTACTAGGAGCAGGGTGTGCACCTTTTTTTTAAAATGCTAAGGTCTGCACCAATCCCCCTTCTTACAGATTTCTTTCTTCCCAGCTACCACTTCTGATGCAGTGACTACGGAATCTAATCAGAGACTATAAACTTTTGCAGGAGGCCCTTTTAAACCAAGCATATGACTGTTCTTTAGCAACCAAGAGATATTGGGGCTGGTCACTATAGCGGGAGGGTGCGTCTGAAATGTTAGGTGTGAATCTCCCGCCATCCACCTTTTCAGGTCTAATACCTAGCTCCTCACTTCGAAAGAGTAAAAAGAAAAGAAAACCCAACCTCAAAACCAAGAGCATAGAACCGCCTCCACATTAGTAAATATTCCCACCAGGAAAACGTTTTGGGAGCCCTCGGGTCTTGGCCAAGGTGGCCATAGCCAGGGTCCGAGGCACACACACACACACACACACACACACACACACACACCCTCCACCCTCTCATTTCTTGTATAGGCTTTGGTCTCTAAAAGGAGGTGGGGAAAGAGGCATGCTTGATCCATGTAAAGACGAGTCAAACAGATGTTTCCTCCTTTTTGCTTCCATCATCTCCAGCGCCATCGCTATAACAATGGAAGGGAACAATCGGCTCCACCTCAGACGCAGGTAATCTGAGAGCATGGAGAGAATATTCAATTTGGAGACCGTCTTCTTTATGAAAACGGTGTACATAAAAGCTCTATTAAGTACATTGGACAGCTCCCGGAACTCAGCTGCGTCCGTGATCAAAATGACAGGTAAGCAACATTTCATCACGGTAAGCTTGTTTGGACTGCTCCGTGAGTTGACTTCAGTGAAGTCAAAGGGCTGGGGTTCGGTTTTCTTAATCTTCCAAATGTTGGATTATTCTGGTGCAATTTGGGATGATCCTGATCTGTACTAGAACTGAGTTGAATTTGTTCACTTCAAGTTGGGACACCCCCAGACAGATACAAATATCCCAGTTCAACCCAGAGCTCACAATTTGTCTAAACCTGTTGCACATCCCTTCTTCAAATAATTTGATTAGAGCATTAATAAGTTATGGGATGGAGGAGGGACTACTCCTGTAAGAATATTTGGTCACTGAAAGGACAGTTAAAGGCATTCCAATATAAAAACCAACCTTCTTGAAGTCCAAGGATTTAAGTATGACACTCCAGAATGGCATGATCCATATAGCAAGTTATTTTATTTAGCACAGGAATGCTTCAGAGCTTGGAAAAGTTACTTTTTGATATATAACTTCCAGAATCCCCTAGGCAGCATGATGAAAATTATACTCTTCCAAATTCAGTGGATGCGGTTGTGCTTGCTGGGGATTCTGGGAACTGTAATCCAAAACAGTAACTTTCCCCACCTCTGGAATAATTTTCTCTCCCACACATCAGAAATGTTTATTGCATTGAATCAGTCATTCATTTGGGGAAAGGAGATTTCAATATAGTTAAAATATGCCTAAGGGCAGTTGACTCTCTCAAGGCATGCAGAAGAAATTGCCTTCCCTCAGAATTTGTTGTTTCAGGTAGCTTCCACTCTCAGCCAAATGGTAGGGCCGGTCCTTACAGGTCCATTTGTGTCGCTAAAGAAGAACATTTCATTCATTTTAAATGGGCAATCCCAAATACATATGGGAATTTGGCTTTCTTTTCATGTCACTCCCCAGTACTAGTTATGGGCCTGATCCAAAAGCTTGCTGAACTGTGTTGAAACATATGAAGACGGCAGCCCTAAACACATTTACAAGGAAGTAAATTCTGCTGAACACAGTGGGATTTATTTACAAGTCAGCACGTCTAAGATTTCTTTTTTCTATCCAGGAGATTCTAACTTGGCCTCAAAGTGTGGATTAATTCAGGTTATTGTTATATCTCTACTCTGCTAGCCAAAAGGGTAATTTCACATGACAGCTGTAGAAAAACATGGCAACAGGTTGGAAGTAGATGCCACTATTTGAGATGAAGCTTTAACATGAAATGCACTGCAGTTTCAATGTTGGCCAAGAAAAGCTATTTTCTTGGCAAGGAAAATATGTGCAAACATGCTTACTGTCCATGGACCTACTAAGGAAAATGTAGTTTTGGATGTCTGCCAAAGAGGAAGCATTGGATTCTGAATGTAAATAAGGAATACAACCAATTCCCTCTACCCCAAATCCTCAAAGAATTACCGAAGGTAAGATTAACGGTTCCACCTGAAAATCTGTATACATTTTCTATGTGCCAATCCTAAATAAGTGGGGAAGAGGAGCTGCTCAATATTTTGCTTTAGGGGTAATGGCCCACCTGTAAATAGTTTCACAATAAAAAGTTATCTTCTTGTAGCACAAGCCACTCTCTCATGTGATGATGATAATTTCACTACTCTTTTGGGGTGGGGTTATCTAAATTGGAAGGCTGTTTCTCAGATACTGAATGAGCAATGGTGATCAGGAGCAGAGAACAGGTGGTCTTCTGGATATTGCTGGACTGGAATTCTCATTTGCCTTAGCAAGGAGAACTTATCAATTACCCAAGCGCTCTAGTAGACAACATTACTGCTCCTGGTCTGAACATCTCTGAAGGCCCCCATTGCACTATATGATCACAACATTGCTGATTGTACAGGCATTCTTATAATTGTGTTGATTATTCATGAACGTGATCACACAATGCTTCTCTGTGTCCAGTGATGATGGGGAAATGTACTTTGGTAATATCTGGAGAGTGAAACATCTCCATTAATGTTGTAGATGGCTGGAGATGCCTTGTTGCATCATAGGTTATGTTGTTTAGCACAAATAAGCTCTGTTACAATCATATGCAGTACTGATGTGGTACATTTTAAAGTGCAGAATCTCATAATTATATCCTTTATATAATTATATCCTTGATATACTCCCCAATAATTATGTTTAAATCATTTCCATAGGAGACAGATGAATAATAGGGGTGTGCCATTCTTTTTGTTTTGTTTCAGTTTTACTTTACAACTTTGAACTGATTGGTTCAAAATTGAGAGAAATCCCAAACCGGAATTAAGATTGCCGGAAGAAATATCAACAACCTTCGATATGCAGATGATACCACTCTGATGGCAGAAAGTGAGGAGGAATTAAAGAACCTTGTAATGAGGGTGAAAGAGGAGAGTGCAAAAAACAGCCTGAAACTCAACATCAATAAAACTAAGATCATGGCCACTGGTCCCATCACCTCCTGGGAAATTGAAGGGGAAGATATGGAGGCAGTGGTACCACTGTGGGCTCCCTGATCACTGCAGATGGAGACAGTAGCCATGAAATTAAAAGAGCCTGCTTCTTGGGAGGAAAACGATGACAAATCTCAACAGCATCTTAAAAAGCAGAGCCATCACCTTGCCAACAAAAGTCCGAATAGTGAAAGCTATG